AGGAAGGAAGGAAGGAAGGAAGGAAGGAAGGAAGGAAGGAAGGAAGGAAGGAAGACAATCTTAATGCAAGGGAAAGTAAGACAGCAGTATCTTAAATTCCGGGACACCTTGGCTATCCACGTGAAACTCTATGTCAAAAAAATAAGTGCTGGGATCCCAGCTATGCAGCACCATGTCTGCAGATTGAACATTTCTTATAAAGCTCAGCACCCACTTACCATGATTTGCAAACACTCCTAATAACCTAAACAAGAACAAATTAAAATGCTGGTAATATGGCTCAGGGGCAAAATGCTTTAAGGCTAACACACAAAAGTTCTAGGTTTAATTTCCAAAACAAAAAGAAAAATGAAACAAAATCTTCAAACAACAGAAGAGTAAACAACAATAAAGTGAACAACCTACAATTTTCGGAGGTATGAATGAATTTCATACATAAATCAGAGTGGAAAACAACCACCCAAAGCAAAAATATCTAATCCAATCATTTTATGAAGACAAAGAGGCTGAATGAACACATGCTAGTAGAAGTCAGGATTTTTACTACCAAGGTGTTCAACTAGTAACTGAAAGGGAAGACAAGGCTGATCTCTAGGAAGAGCTCCAGATGCTGCCATTACCCCGACAGAAATCTGCTAGCTGATGTGTGCAGTCACTATATATGTATTATAAGCTTCAACAGTCTATTGCTTTAATGCTGCTACAACCGGTTTTGTTTTGTTCTGTTCTGTTTTAATTAAAGAGAAAAAGAAAGCCTACCCATTGGAATAAAGAGTTCACCATCCTCCATCTCTTCCTCAGTTTGGTGAACCAGAGTTCTGAGTGGCTTTTCTTGTGGAAGGGCAGAACCATCTGTCTGGAATGGTTTCCTAGGCTGGGCTCCTGGTTTTGCAGATTGGCTGCCAGATGACAACAAAGATAATTCCCCTCCAGAATGCATCTGAAGTTTCCCTAGAAGAATCGCAAACACTGCTCCACACTCCGCTCATTCTTAATCATTTTCTAGTGCAGAACAGCATCTTTTCCTAAGATCTTTACATTAGACATCTTCATGAAGCATACTATACACATAGGCTTTCCTTTGCTTCAAGATAGGCTCCAAAACAAATAATGAAATGAAATCTGAGATCCAAATTCTTCATCTATAATTCACAGAATGAACTAGATAACTGCTATGACATTTTAAATTCAAATATGCTTTGAACTCTGTGTTTTCCTAAGAAAAATGAGACCATGGATTGGGGATTTAGTTCAGTGGTAGAAAGTAAGCCTAGTACATATGACTGCTCTGGGTTCAATTCACAACACCAAAAAACAGATCATTATAGGGTAGAAGGTATTAGATGACAAAGGGACAGTTATTTAGAGTTGACCATGAGATTTCATCAACTGTAAAAGATATAAAAATATCCAAAGTAGGAGCTGAAGAGATGGATCAGAGGTTAAGATCACTGGCTATTCTTGCAGAGGACCCAAATTCAATTCCCAGCACCCATATTGCAGCTCACATCCACCTGGAAATCTAGTTGCAGGTGATCTAATGCCCTCTTCTAATCAGGTATGCATAAGGCATCCACCTGATTTACAGATACAAGTCAGTAGTGGTTTTAATAACAAGGAACCCCAAAGGCTCATATATTTGCATGCTTACTCCTCAGTTGGTGACATATTTGAGAAGGATTTAAAGGAGTAGGAAGTGCAGCCTTGCTGGAGGAAGAGTGTCATTGGGCTTTGAGGATTCACAAAAACCCATGCCAGGCCGAGGCTCTCTTCCTGTGGATCAGAAATGTCAAGATCTCAGCTATGCCACAGCACCATGCTGGCATGCACGCTCCACACTCCCCAACAAGATGATAATGGACCAACCCTCTGAAACTGTAAGCAAGGCCCCAACACAGACCTCCTTTATAAGAGCTGCGTTTGTCAGAGGGTTTCTTCACAGCAATAGAAACACTAACTAGGACAGACATAAACATTTAAAGATTTGTACAAAGGTCTCCCATGGGGAGTCAGCAGAGCCTGGCACATTCAGCTGAGGCAGGTCTAAGCCCCTCCTCCCTGCGCCAAGGCTGCGCAGAGTGTCTCACCATAGGCACCATGCACTAGGGACAGGTCCCAGTCCCACTGCCTGGTGGAATGGGGGGTAGGATGGGAGGAGGGAGGACAGGGCAATCTGTGACTGATATGAAAAATGAATGAATGGAAAACTTCTTATGTACACAGAAGAGGGCACCAGATCTCATTACAGATGGTTGTGAGCCACCATGTGGGTGCTGGGAATGAACTCAGGACCTCTGGAAGAGCAGTCGGTGCTCTTAACCTCTGAGACATCTCTCCAGCCCCTGAGCCATCTCTCCAGCCCCAGAAAACTTCTTAATTAAAAAAATAAATAAATACAAATATATTTGAGTTAAAAAAAATGTACGAAGGAAACATTGTCTGGGGCATGCTGGTACACAGCTATCACCCTAGCACTGGGGAGGTTGAAGCAGAAGAATATTAATACTTGGCCTACATAGCAAGATTAGGTCTCAAAAAAAAAAAAAAGCAAAACAAACATTTCTGACTCTAAATCAATTTTACAGAACAAATGAATTAATATACCATTAATTAAACTAAATGGTATATTAATTCATTATTCATTAAATGCATACTATCAAAAAGAAACATGAAAATCAACTTGTTAAGACAGACATTCTATGGCGTGACTGTGATCCTATCACTTGGGAAGTCACACTGAGAGGATCACTGTAAATTAAGAGGCCAATCTACTCTACAAATGGAGTTTCAGGAGAGAGAAAAAAAGAAATTGAGTTGTGTCAGAAAGAAGGTGAGTATGCTAGGTGGCACATGCCTTTGTGGGGGGCAAAAGAAGGTGGATCTCGGGGAGCTGCAGGCCAGTCTGACTATAAAGTGAGACTACTTCACAAGAGGGACAGAGAGACAGAGAACCAGATGAAGAGGAAGACAGAGAAAGACTACCTCTGGGAGCTGCCCTTTGATTTTCAAACTCTTACGTGCACTAACAAACACAAGCAAACAAATAAAAAAAAAAAAAAAAAGAGTTTGGCACGCCTTTAACCCAACACTGGGAAAGCAGAGGCAGTTGAATCTTTGAGTTCCAGGCCAGCCTGGTCTACAGAGTTAGTTCTTGGCAGCAAAACTATACAGTGAGAACCTGTCTTTAAAAATAATTTCTTGGGGCTGGAGAGATGACTGCTCTTCCAGAGGTCCTGAGTTCAATTCCCAGCAACCACATGGTGGCTCCCAACCATCTGTAATGAGATCTGGCGCCCTCTTCTGGCCTGCAGGCAGAACACTGTATACATAATAAATAAAATCTTTTTAAAAAAAATAAAAATAAAATAAATAAAATAAAATAAAAATGATTTCATAGCCCAGTAGTGGTGGAGCACGCCTTTAGTCCCAGCACTTGGGAGGCACAGGAAAGGGGATCTCTAAGTTTGAGGCCAGCCTGGTCTACAAAGCATGTTTCAAGATAGGCACCAAAGCTACACAGGGAAACCTTGTCTGGAAAAACCTGAAATAATAATAATTTCTATTGAGACTAGTCAAGTGAGGAGTGAGAAGAGGGAAAGTGTAGAACAGGAGCTCAGTCTGAAACAGACTGTGAACATCAACTGACATAACTCACTACCTTCAGATCAGCCCAGAAAGTAAATGTTGAAAGTGAAAACAGATAAACGTAAATAGAAACTAATGTTTTAAAAGAAAGAAGGGAATACATCAGCACTTGCTCAGAGGAGAAACACGGCAGAGCTGGGGTTGCAGCTCACATCAGAGCATGCTCAGAACACAAGAGGCCCTAGGCTGGATCCTGAGCACTGGAAATAAACAGACTGGTGGAGGCTGAGCCCAGGACTGATGGATACTACAGAGCATTCATTGTGTTACTGAGCCTCACCTGCAGTCCAAACACTAACTTCCTCCCAAGATTTGTCTCTAGCCCTCCTCATAGTCATTAACAGAGATTTCACCATATAACTATTTGGCATATGTCAGAATAAAAAAAAAAAAAACATAATTTAAAGAGAAAAAACAAAAACAGTATACTCTATTATTTTGAATAGTTGCAATTATGAGTGATCACACACACACTCCACTCCTCACTGAGGTTCAAACCCAGGGCCATGAAAATGTAAAGCAACAGTGTCCTACTATTGACCTAGATCCCATACATCTCAGCCCTTGGCCTCTGATAGTGCATTACTGTGTAACCTGGCCTCAAATCCACATATGGAAATAAACAATTTATGTACGTTTTGGAAAATATTGAAAACTAAAATTAAATAAATTCATCCAATCCAGCCTGGTAGCATGTTGGCAGATTATGGCTGGCTGGTCGAGGTGGCAGCCTCCCATGGCCTAGCAGCTTGTATCAGTATCTTGGCAACATGGAGCTGCCTCCCTCCAGCAGAACTTCCTGCCTCTACCTGCACTTATCTGGAAAATGTCCCTGGGCCTGGAGGACTGACCTTATCCAAGAGCTGTCTCTAAACCAGATGGCTGATTCATCTTTTGCTTGACCCCTGGCACAGATCCCTGCTAAGACTTGTGCTAGGAGCTCTGATATAGAAACATACTGCCACATAAAAAGCCTTGTGATAGGAGCCTGACACTTAATGCAAATTAGGGTTTGACCCAGGCTCTCCAATCCTATATATTCTTTATATCTGGAATAAGCTTCAACGACTTACCGGAATCTGTCTTTGGGAGGGCTGTCTCCATTCACGCTTACGGGCTGCCTACTAAGCTTTCTGCTGCCCTTCCTACCTCTTTCTCCTCTCGCACTGATGGCCAACAGGCTGAGAGGGAAAGAGGATCCCCACAGTAACACAACATGTAATTATCATACTTTCAGCACTCAGAAGGTAGAGGAAGGACACATTTGTTGAAGGACAGACAGGGCTGAGAAGTGAATTCCAAACCACGCTGACCTACAGCACAAGATCTCATCTCTAAAAACCCAAAGAAACTGGGTTTAAAAAGAGAGAGAAACCAATAGGAGGCCTGGGACGTGACTCAGAGTGCACCCCCAGCATGCACAAGCCCCTAATACCAGTATCTGCCACTGCAAACAAACAAAGGAAGAGATGGCCCTAACTTTGCTTTCTATTAGAAGGGCTACCTACTGGAAATGTTCCGATGTCTCAGCATGAAAATTAAAGCTCTTTGCAACTGAACCTAACCTCCACTTGGAGTCCCTTTGCCTAATTCTTCTGAGATACAATGTCACCACCTTCCTCTGTTTGACTATCTCTACATGAACTTTTGCTAGCTCAGGGGTCCATGGCATCCACTCTGTCAAATGCAACCTTCAGAGCCTTCAGTCCAAACACCCTTCAGGGTCTTCATATCTTGAAAGCCTTCCTCAGTGTCCAAACAATCGTCTTCCTTTCACACGGCCAGCTTCAGGAATACACAACTTAATAGAGTATTCATAGTTCATCTCTCCAGGAAGGCAGAATAAAGATCATGGTGAAAAGGGGAGGGGTGGATAGGGAGATGGCTCAGAAATTAAGTGAACTTGTAGCTCTTACTGAGAACCCACATGGTGGCTCACAGACATACATAATGTCAGTTTCAAAGGTTCTGACAAGCTCCTCTGGCCTCCACAGTCACCAGGCATGCACACGGGGCGTGTGTGTGTGTGTGTGTGTGTGTGTGTGTGTGTGTGTGTGTGTGTGTATCCAAGTGAAATAGACGTACACATCAATTTTTTTTTTTTTATGGAGAGAGCAGAGAATACAGAGTTGGAGAGGAAAAGAAAATCTCGACCCAGTCAGGCAATGGTGGCGCACACCTTGAATCCCAGCACTCGGAAGGTACAGCCAGGCAGATCTCTGTGAGTTCGAGGCCAGCCTGGTCTACAGAGGGAGATCCAGGACAGGCACCAAAACTACACAGAGAAACCCTGTCTCAAAAAGAGAGAGATAGAGATAGAGATAGAGATAGAGATAGAGATGAGATAGAGAGAGAGAGAGAGAGAGAGAGAGAGAGAGAGAGAGAAAAGAAAATCTCGATCCAATCAAAAGTTTCACTATTAGTGCTTAATGAGCACAACAGTCCCAGTTCCAAGTCCACACCACAGCAATTAACTTCCAGAAACACTTCTCTGTAAAGGCAACACAGAGAGCAAAGACAAGCCGGGGCAGTAGTCGAGGTCTTTAATCCCAGCACTTGGGAGGAAGAGGCAGGCGGCTCTGTGAGTTTGGGGCCAGAGTGGGCTCAATAGTGAGTTCTAGGACAGCCAGGGCTATGCAGAGAGACCCTGTCTCAAAACAAGGAAAGGAAAGAACCAAGTGGCCCAGGTTAGCTCCCTGTCCCTTCTCTGAAGTGCCGGGGTCCAATATGAAGATGGACACTCATGAGAAATCTTAGAGATGGGACCCAAGCCTAGACAGGCAACTCATTCATTTCTCATGCACAGGCCTCTCTTCTGTCATCTGAAGATGCTCCGATGCAGTATTTAAGGAAGGCCTGCATTCTGACACAGCCCCTCACCTGAGGTCAGTGTGGGGTTTCTCACTCACAGCACCAGGGCAGTACTCCACAAGGAAAGTGTGGAGCAGTCTGGAGTTTAGAGCTTCACACCAGAGATGCTCAACCTAGACGGGCATGGGAAAAGCAACCAAGACCTTTCCCCCTTACCTCCTTCTGCCTTGACTTCTTCACCAGGCTCTCCTGAAGGAGGTTCCACTATGACAGGATGATCCCCTTGGTCTTCTCTGGTCATCAGCCCAGGCTGGAAGGCAGTTTTCTTCACTTTCTTTGAGCCCGTGGCTGGGAGTCTCCCTTGATCGATGTGTACAGTAAGGGAATGAGAAGACTCCAAGGAAGGAAGGGTGATATCCTGAGGGATGGCTACACCAACAGCTTCCAAAACCGGTAAGTTGCCATGCTGGGTGAGCATCTTGGAGCTTAGAGATGGATCCTCCATGCTGAGCTGGTTTTCTACATCATGCATGGAGTGCAGCTCCGGGCACACTGCACTCTCATGACCTGGACCCCAGGACAGTGACTCCGACCCCAAGTCTTTCAGCTGGTCGGACTCTGGCTTCACAGCTGACTCTAGGTCTAAATCATCTCCTTCCTGGTCATCCCCCTGCTGCACAGACTCTGTCACTGTAGCTCTTCTCTTTTTACAGGGCAACATTTTACAAGTCCCACTTCGGTTCCATCCTAAAACAACACAAGGCAAGTCCTTATCACCTCAGTAGGAGTAACAGTAATAACGGTTGTTCACTCATCACTTCACCATCCCCAAGGAAAACCATGAACATAGTATCTCACACCAAAGGCCTAGGAATTTTAGGGGAGGATGAGAATTGATTACAGTAGCTCAGCTCAGACTCCACACCAGATAGTATGTTACCTTAACTAAATGTTACCTTAATCTCTTAAGTTTCTGATACCTCAGCCTTGAAGGGATGGTGCAGGCCTCTATTCCCTGCCGAGGAAGAGAGGCAGGAGGATGTCAGAGTCCACTGACAGCCTGGTCTACAAGTAAGTTCTAGGCTAGCCTGGAACTGGCCACATGCCCTCACATTCAAATACCCACAGACACATGTAATCCAAAACTGAAAAGTAAATCTTACAGCATCACATGTCACTTTGCAGTATCTTTGTCTTCATCCTCAAGAATAGGAACTTAGTTAGGGCATCCTTAACTGGTGTCTCCTGTATCCCGCACCAGGTGGGTACTATAGTGGCAGTGACCGTTCTCTGAAGAGATGACTGAATGAAAGTGGGACTCAAAGTGCTCTTAAACAATGCTGGACGGCATTTGCACCAAGCACTTAGCATTTACATAGGTACTAGAGGATGGCTTCCGACTTGCTATGTAGCTCAGGAAGACCTTGAACTTGTCATCCTGCTGACTCCACTTACAGGTCCTACCGCAGCCGGTTTTATGAGGTGGGAACCAAGAGCTTTATGCATGTAAGGCAAGCACTCTACCATCTGAGTACATCCCCAGCCTCTAGATGAATCCTTCTATACAGAAAACATTACTTTCATGAGAAGGTCCAAGGACAGAATAAGCATCACTGGCAACCTTCAAGTCTGATAGATCATTCAACAGTACTAGAGGAAATAGGCAGGCTTTAAAACAACGTTCACTCCGGGCGGTGTTGGCGCACGCCTTTAATCCCAGCACTAAGGAAGGCGATTCTTTGTGAGTTCGCGGCCGGCAGAGTCTACAGAGCGCATTCCAAGATATGCTCGCTCCAATGCTACACATAGAAACCCTAACTCGGGGGTGGGGGGTGGGGGGAACGTCACCATGACTCAGAGTTTGAGCTACAAAGCTAACCTTGAGCCTCCCCAATTCACGTTCTCTATCTAGGGCATGAAGGCAGGCCCTCACCACAACAGCCCAGGTTCTTATCTCAGGACCGGAGAGAATATTGGTTGATCCTGTCACGGAGGGGGGTAAATGAGAACGGAGGGAGAGGGAATCACCTAGGCGATTCCTTTATTTCACGGGTGCCTTCATGAGGTTCAGGCGCTGTTCAGTCAGAACTGTGCCGAGATCGCTCCAAGAGCCTCAACACCAGTAGCTTGAGGAGTCCGCCCCTTGGAGACCAAGAGGTAGACCGACAGAATGAATGACCGACAGAATGAATGACCGACAGAATGAATGACCGACAGAAGGAATGACCGACAGAATGAATGAGCGCCCATCCGTGAGCCGGGCCCCGCTCAGGGGCGGGGGCCATCCGGAAAAACATGTCAGGGGCCGCCTCGCTGCGCGCTCCTCAGCGCTCAACACCTGCCCAAGTCCGCACCGCCACCCGCACCCCTGCGGCCCGATTCCCTGCACGCTCCGCGCTCCCAGCCTCGGAGCAGACGCCCCTCGTCCTGGCCGGCCTCCGCCCGGAGCCCCACGTCTAACGCGCCTCTTCCCGCCCCGCCACACACTGCACAGTACCCTCGGACGCGGGCCGATTCCGCGGAAACTCCGCTCCGCACCAGCGGAAGTAAGGCAACGGCACCGCCGGACGTGCGCGCCCCCGGAGCGCGGAAGTTGGACGTCAAGGAGCATGCGCACAACCATAGGCGCCATCTTGTTTTAGGGCGTCTTGAAGCCTCAGGGCTAATACGTCAGTTAAGGGAAAAAGTGACAGAACCCATGATAGATACAGATGGAAGGTAAATAGGTGATGGTAAGTCGGCGGGCTAGCAGGCACGCAGGCACCAGGTAGTTCGGCAGAGAGGTAGGTAGGTAGGTAATGAAAGATGTAACTTAGTAGAGAGCTTCCCTTGCATGGTGGAATCCCAACGCTAAATAAACCCAGTGTGGTGGTAAACACCTATAATGTCAGCACTTGGGAGTTGGGACGTGGAGGCAGGAATACCAACAGTTCAAAGCTATTCTGAACACACGCTGTCTTGTCTATAAATAAACACGCCAAAGGCACTTCCCTGCCGGGGGTAGTGCTGCATGCCTTCAATCCCAGCAACGCAGGAGGTCAAGACAGGCATATCTGTGAGTTCTGAGTTCACAGCCAGCCTGGTCTGCAGGGTGAGTTCCAGCACAGCCAGGGCCACACAGAGAAACCCTGTCTCAAAAAAGGAAAGAAAGGAAGGTAACAGGGAAGGAAAGGAGGAAGGAAGAAAGCTTCGTAGCTTTCTCTATCTTTAGTAATCTATCCAACTCACAACTGGGTGTTGGGAGTCCATGGTTGAAGTTGACAACTAATCAACCTCCCCACAAAATACCTGGAACATAGGAAGAAAAGAAGAATTCCTAAAATTTAGAACGGTACTCTAGATTATAAAAACCAAAGGCAGACTTGATCCCAAGGTGTGGCAGTTACTCATATCTACATGATGTTCTTCATTGTGCAAAATGTCCTCACATTATCTTAGGGGATTTGGTCCTCCAAGAAAAATCCTGTGGACCAATGGATATTTTTATCACTTTTTCCATTTGGCAGATTCTGGCCCTGATGAGTAGATGAGCTCACAAAAGTACCCAGTTATCAACACAAGTGAAGTATCTGGTATTCCAATCCCAGGTTCTTATGCATTGACCCAGTGCACAATAAATTGCCTCATGTTTGGGCATATTTGTGGATTTTTCTTTTTTCTTTTTTTTAATTCCCAGTGCTGTGATTAAATGTGAACACAACCACATTTTTTAGGATTTTAGGTCTTTTGTTATAGTTTTGATTTTTTTGACGCAGGGTCTTGCTGTACCCCTCAGACTGGTCTTTAACTCCTGCTTCTGTCCATTTTATTTTTATTTTTAATCATTTTCTCAAGTTTAAGGCTCCGTAATTGCCTTTACTGTTTCAGGAATGCACTAAAACAGCAGCAATCAATACTGAAACAGTATAGAGTTTTGTTTTTCACAACATCTGGAACGCAGAAGGTTCAGCTTCCCTCTGCATAAACCCAGGCAACTAGAATCACAGCTTCCGTGGACGCTAAAGCGATCCTCTTCCTGCCCTTCTGTATTTGGAGGCCTAGCCAAGCCTTCCTTGACTCTCCTGCCTCACCCACTCCAGTGCTACAGTCACAGGAATATGCGACTGAACTAGCACAACACCTACACTTCTTACTGGCTTTGAAATTCCAGTCCCAACGCCCACAGCCTGTGAATGGGCGGAGCCTCGTCCTGGAGAAAAATCGGCAGTGGGAGTGGCTTCCTCTCGAAGAGCTTCCGGAACCTTTCGGGCAGAGGCGGAGTCTTCTGCCGAGGGCCCTTCGGAAAGAGGCGGAGCCTACCTCGCATCAGGACCAGTCGGACTGCACCTGCATCCTTAGCTCAGAGCATCCCTGGAGCATCTAAGAGGAACGCGCAGCTAGCAACCAGGGATCGGACTGTCGCAGGGGCAGTCTGCCAGGCACCTTCCCCTCCCCTGATCCGGAGGTCTACAGCCGCGGCCTCGGTACTGACCGAGATCCCCAAAGTTGTCTGACCTCTGCAAAAGTGTTGCTATCAGCAGCCTCTGATTACAACATGGCTGAGATCACAAATATACGCCCCAGCTTTGGTAAGTAGAGTCTGACCGACTGATTCTTTTAAGCCATCAGGCCGGCGCAAAGCCGGATAGCTGAGGAATGGGCGGGGAGTGAAGTCCAGATGGGATCCTTTAATTGCCAGCCCTGCTAGACTCGGGCCTGAGGTGGTGAGTGAGTAGAACGCAGTGGCCAGCGCCTGGATTGCAGCTGCGGGCTGCAGGGGCTGGTGAGGCCAGAGTGCCACCGAGGGTAGGCAAGCCCAGGATGCTAAATCCTTGACCGCCAACCCTCCATGGTGCACTGTCAGCACGGCTGGAGGTGAGAAGCGGCAAGCACGCGGAGGATGTGAACCCCTCCTTCTGGAGGAAGAGAGGTGGGGTAGGCCGAGCCCTCCCCCTTGGGGCACGCAGGGCGGTGCCCCTTCCTCCCCCTCCTACTTCTGAGGGCTGCAGGAGAGGGAAGTGGCAAGGGGGATGGGGCATCAAGATGGCAGCGTGGAGACTATGGGCTGTGTGGCTGGCAGCCAAGGGAGGCGGAGGCCTCCAGGGAAAGAAGGGTGCGGGGGTTGGGAGCAGAAGGGAAGCCACTCCTTAAGCCGGTCAGAGGGTTGCTAGGGCTGGGGTGAAACGCTAGCCCTGCAAGCTTCGTTCTGCACCGTAATGGTCAGGTCCTTCCTTCCCGGTGTTACCAAATGGCGCTTGGCGCCGCCGGGTGGAGAGATGACGTGATGTCTATTTCTGAGCCTCCTGGCAGTGCCTAGGCGCTCCTTCCGGGGCCTTTGTTCCCTGTTTCCCTGGTCTGGCTTTTCAAAAAGGGGGACTCACCCGTGCTGGTGCTGGCGGGGGCGGCATTCCTGGCTGGGGGGAGGGGCGAGAGAGGCCCAGCCTGGGGGAGGCCGCTTTGTGTACCACAGAAAGCATTACGTCATCTCGGAGCGGCTGGTCCACGACCTAGCCCTCTGGGCTCCAAGAGCAGTCTAACACTCCCTAGGGCAGAAAGTGCAGTGGGAAAGAGGGAGGAAAGAAGACAAGAGAGCCTTGGCCAACTCGTTTCCTCTTGGGGAACTCTTCCATAACGGTTGAGGAGAGCGAACTTCTCATGGTGTTAGGTTCCAGATTGTAGGGTAACTCTGTGAGGACCAGTGCAGATCTAGTTACACCACCTCCTTCCTGTGCGAGGCAGACTGTGTTTACAGTGTAAACCAGCATTAACCTAATATTGGCCAAGTCGTGGTCACCTAACTTACCAAGTCATTTTTACCCAAACTTACCAAGTAAGGGTATTGCCTATAACTTTTAAGTCTCTAGAAGGTTTTGTATTTATCTGTGATGTCTGAAATCATAGTGCCTTTGTACCCTCTTTTTCTAAACTGTAGGTTTTTGACATGAACAAATTTGACCAGGTCTTAGGTTTTTTTTTTTTTTTGAGACAGGGTTTCTCTGTGTAGCTTTGCGCCTTTCCTGGATCTTGCTCTGTAGACCAGGCTGGCCTCGAACTCATAAACTTCAGCCTGGCTCTGCCTCCCGAGTGCTGGGATTAAAGGCGGGCGCCACCACTGCCTGGCGGTTTTGGTTTCGATAAAAGGTTTATTGGGCTGGTGGTTTCAGAGAACATAGTCAGTTGCTGACTGGCTCATGTCTGTGGCCCATGTTGGAGCAGGAGCAGGTCAGCATATCAGAGTATTAACTAGACCAAAATTGAGACAGAGATAGAAGACAGCTCTGTTGTTACAAAATTTATCTAATGAAGAAAAACAGACAAACACACACTGGTCAGGGGAATAAGCATAATGAAGAAACCCAAAGGTGAAGACTTTTGTTTCCTTGAGGCAGGCATGGATGCTTCTCTTGTGAAGTGAGGCTGGCCCCAAGCCGGAAGTAATTTAGACAGTGAGCCATGAGGATGCCTAGGAAAGGGTATCAGGGTATTTAGGAAGAATCTGGTACATGCTAGAATTGTATTTATTTCATTAGTCCTTCCTGATTTCCAATTCCTCCAAAGAATATAGAATGAAAACAACAAGCCTTAGGAACTAAAAGCAATTGAGCTGTGGTCAACTTTATAAGGCAGGCCCAACTTTTAGAGGAAAAACAAGACTAATGGAAAGGAGGACAGATCACTGATCTTTCTAGCTATTTGCTCACCTAGCAGACAATATGGTTACATGCCTGCTATGCGTTTGAGCACTACCTTACACCAATGAACAGGATGGCCTGTCCTCACAACAGTTACATTCCAGGGAAGATAACAAATGGTGAAACTATAAAACCATACGCACACAGGAAGCTAGGGCCAGAGGATGGTGGGTTTAAGGCCAGCGTGGGTTATAATGTAATTACTTATTTAGAGACAGGATCTCAGGTAGCCCAGTTTGGACTTGAAGTTGAGACCTAAGGAGGACCTTGAACTTTGCATCCTCCTGCTGCCACTTCCCTAGCGCTGGGACTGCAGGCATACACCTCCGTGTCTGCTTTGATGTGGTGCTGAGCTCTGACTCAGGGCTTCATGCACGGTAGAGAAGCACTGGACCAATTGCACAGGCACTCCTTGTTCACTCTTTTCTTTCTTCTTATTTATATTTGCTGTATAATTTGTGTGGGGCTGGCATGTATCTACGTACCTGGGCATAGAGCCTGAGGGGTACTGAGTGTCCTCTAACACTCTCCTCCTTATTCCTTTGAGGCAGGATTTTCCCAAAATCTGGACTCACGCATTTCCGCAGGCTGGCAGGCAGCAAGTCCAGCAATCCTTCTGTTCCTGCCACCCCGTGGCTCTTCGATGACAAGAAAGAGTGAGATCAAGCCCAGCTTGGGTTTTCATTATGGGATCCAAACTCAGGTCCTCAGGATTTTACAACAAACACTAAGCCACTGAGTCATCTCTCCAACCTTTTTTTACCCTTCTCTTTGACATCTCCCTTTGTTATTGTTGAACAAATTTTTTTTTTTTTTAATATTTTTGTTTTTTTAGGATTTATTTATTTTGGGCTAGAGAGATGGCTCAGCCGTTAAAGAATAGGCTCACAACCAAAAATATAAGAGTTCGGTTCCCAGCACCCACGGCTGTCTCTCCAGCCACTAAAAGAAAAAAGAAAAAAAAAAAAAGATTGATTTATTTATTATGTATACAGTGTTATGTCTGCGTGTATGTCTGCAGGCCAGAAGAGGGCACCAGATCTCATTATAGATGTTTGTGAGCCACCCTGTGGTTGCTGGGAATTGAACTCAGGACCCCTGGAAGGGCAGCTGATGCTCTTAACCTCTGAGCCATCTCTCCAGCCCCACCCTCTTATTTTTTTAAAAGACAGGATCCCACATGGGCCAGGCTGCCCTCAAAGTTACTGTCTAATAGAGGACGATCCTGAACTCTTCCTCTTGCCCTTATTTCCCTAGTACTAGGATTACAGGTATTCACCACCACATCCAGTTTTAGCTTTTGTCTTTTGAGGTAGGGTCTCATGTAGTCCAGTAGGACCTCAAACTCACCATGTAGTTAGTCCATGCTGGCCTTGAACTCCTGACTCTTATGACCCTGCCTCCCTAATACTGAGATTACAGGCACGTGTCACCACATCCAATTCTTTATTCTTACATTTGTATATTATATATTTCTCTCATATGTGTATATTATATATTTGGGGGGGGGGGGTGTTGAGACCAGTTCTTTCTATGGAGCCCTGGCTGCCCGAACTCACTGTGTAGACCGGGCTGGCCTCAAACTCATACAGATCCTCTGTCTCTGCCTTCCATGATCTGGGTTTGTATATAGTTCTTTTACACAAGCACATAGTTATGAGAGGAAAGATAATGATAGGGCCCATGAAGACAGATTGAGTTATTAAGAATGCATATTGAGGGCTGGAGAGATGGCTCAGAGGTTAAGAGCACTGGCTGCCCTTCCAGAGGTCCTGAGTTCAATTCCCAGCAACCACAGGTGGTAGCACACAACCATCTGTAATGAGATCTGGCTCCCTCTTCTGGCAGGATACTGTATGCATAAGAAGGCAGGCAGGCAAAGCAAAGCAAACAAATGAAGGATAGGAAAGGTTGTGCTTTTTACTTAATTTATTTTTCCAGACAGGGCTTCTCTGTGTAGCCTTGGCTCTCCTGGAACCCACTATAGACCAGGCTGGACTAGAACTTAGAGAACCACCTGTCTTTGCTTCTAGAGTGCTGGGATTAAACAATTGCCCAGCTATACTTTTAAATCAGTGCTTCTCTACCTTCCTAATGCTGTGACTCTTGAATACAGTTCCTCATGTTGTGGTGACCCCAACATAAAATTATTTTCATTGCTACTTTATAACTGGAATTTTGCTACTGTTATGAATAGTAATATAAATATAAGATATGCAGGATGTATTTTCATGGTTATAAATTCAACATAATTTAAGTATAGTGATACTTAACCATAAAAAACAATATTTAATTACATATTATGAAATATATATTTCTAATTACAAATAAATGTAATATTTTCTTGACTTATGGTATAACATGGGAAACAGTCTTAAAATAACAACAGTAAGCTACAGTGGTACTCTTTGCAACATTATGAATACAAAGCCAACCTCAGTGCAAAGGTTGAGACTGCTTCTTTCTCACCAGATCAGAAATTCTCGGGGCAGTCTTTGCAGAAGCACAAAGAAGATCCTCTTCCACAGCCAGTCTACCTCCCTATTTAGACTTGATAACCAACAAGATGGAAAATCCTGTTTCACAAAGATACGTTGTTGCAAATGGAAGAAGTCGTCCCAACACAGTCTCAGACAAAACCGAAATGACTGCAGCTGCTTGATCCAGAGTTTTGTACTGGCATTGAAGGAACTCAACTCTCACTGTATCGCTGCTCATAAGTGCAACGAATTCCTCTTGTGCTGTCTCAGGAATATTTTCAAGTTTGACTGTGAATGGGTTTCTGGCAAGTGTAAATGGAGTGTCTACAAACGTGCAAGTGTTCTTTCACAGAAATAATCATTGTAATCTTTTTTCTGGTTAAATGTCATGTACCTCAAAGAAAACAGATAGGGTAGGCAACATGTAAATTTTATTTTCATCCCCCCCCCCCTTTTTTTTTTTTTTTTTTGCCAAAGCTGAAGTTTCATTTGGAATGATATGGTATTTTCAGTAAAATTGAGGCATGTTGCATTGGACCTTGCAGTGATAAATTTAACTCACTCAAGATGGCAAAGATGATAACCAATTAAGCTACTTTCTGTTTTAATTTTAACCACTCAAAATGCTTTGAACTGCCATCTTGCTTTCTGATTAAAAACATTTTGAGTCCACCACACAGCTCAAAAACACATTTTTCTTTTTTTAAAGATTTACTTATTTATTATGCATAAAATGTTCGGCCTGCATGTGTGCCTGCAGGCCAGAAGAGGGTGCCAGATCTCATTACAGATGGTTGTGAGCCACCATGTGGTTGCTGGGAATTGAACTCAGGACCTCTGGAAGAACAGTCAGTGCTCTTAACTGCTGAGCCATCTCTCCAGCCCCTCAAAAACACAATTTAGAATAGCAGTGTCAGCCCAAACTTGTAGACCCAGCACTCAGGGAACTGAGGCAGGTGAATTTCTGTGAGTTCCAGGCCAGCCAGGGCTGCACAGAGAAACCCTGTTGGGGGGTGGGGGACGACCTCGACAAGACAAACAGCAAATACGTTTTAAAACCTTTTCCTCTCCAGAACCATCTAACCTCAGTATGAAATGGCAGAGTGTTGTTCACTGCCTCCAACTCGTTACACAGTTGTGAAAATAGTTACTGTTAAGTGCTTCCCTTCATAAAATTGACAGAAGTTATAATGCTTTTTTTTTTTTTTTTTTTTTGGTTTTCTGAGACAGGGTTTCTCTGTGTAGCTTTGCGCTTTTCCTGGAACTCACTCTAGACCAGGCTGGCCTCGAACTCACAGAGATCCACCTGCCTCTGCCTTCTAAGTACTGGGATTAAAGGTATGTGCCACTACCCAGCATTCCTAGTAATCCTTATGGCAGCATAATATTTGTTGGTGAATCCTATGGTGAGTTCTGGTGACTTCTGGTGACCATCCAGATCGACACCCTAGCACAGCTGGAGCACCGTCCATGCAAACACCACAGACCTTTCCCAGGAGATCTTAGGCTCTTTCAGAAATGAACCACTGACTCAAATACGGGGGTGTGCAGAAAAGAAACTCATCTTTAAAGCTGCCATTATTAATCGACCTCACATAAACCAATAGTCGAACAGTTGTAACGTCTGTGGATTCCTAAAGCTCCTGGGTCACCTACTCAAGGACGTCAGCAAACACGGCGTCTGTTCTGCTGACGGTGTCACTAGACGAGGAAATCCCACTCAGCTGGGTAATAAATTTGTCTCCAATCATAACTCTAGAAATACCTTTGGCTGCTGGCAATAGTAAATCCTCAGTGGAGGTGTGAGGTTTCACAGCTCTGGCGATTCTGGGCTCTACCAAATATGAAGTTTCAATGTCTGCTACATTCTGTTGTGATATGAGCCACCAGTGTCAAGTCTGGCCTCCTTGAGTCCACCAGCTTTGCTTCTAAAGTAGTTGACATCTTTGGCAGAGAAGCTCAGATGCTCACTATCAAAGTGGCAGTTTAGATTGTTCAGCCTCATAGATTTGGCTGATAGAATTTCACAACAAATAACACATTGTAGTTTCTCAATTTCTGCTGTAATCATTGAGGTAAAATCATACTGTAAAAAAATCCTCACAATATTTTCTTTTCTTAACGTTCTTCTCAACAGGATCCATTGTCATGGGATAGTTTTCTAATGAAAACGATATATAACAACATCCTTAATAATACAAAAGATCATATATGGCATATTTCAGTCAATACAGTTCATTAAAGTTTCCGAAGATTTACCATTCTTTGGTTTTTCCTTTTTTCAAACCCATTACTATCACAAGGGGGCAGGATTCAAATCAATGACAGCTGAATAACAAAAGACCAATCAGTATGCAGATGAAGTTCCCATGGTACAGACTTTTATTTAGTAGTTGATGATTATACGATACATGATTTTATATTTGTCCAGTAATTACAATTCATGAAGTATAGTGTTACCTCCAATACAGCTACTTTCAACACAGTAATTGCTGCTCTCTACACATGTGACAGGTCCATGTAAGTCCATTAAGGCACAAACGCTGTTATATACACCTGTATTTGTTCTGTGTGTATGTGGTGGGGTTGGCACAATGATATCATCACACCAGGTGCTCATATGTGGGCATATCAGCATGTGGACAGTCCCACCTGGAGAAAGATAAGAAGACAAATGTCTCAGTTCCTAACCATCAGAAATGTGTTTTCTGATGGACTTAGCTGACCGCTGTGAAGGGCTGTTCAATCACCAAAGGTGAAAAAACACTGGTTTTTAAAATACAGCTCTCGGCACCAGGCATACTCAGCAGTAGACTGCCTATTTGCTGGCTGCTCTGATTGGCCACATGTCACTGAAATCAACTCATATAAAGTGCTCAAAGAAGGTGTTAGAAGATAATTATATTTGAGCTGGTCAAGGGATCAATTTCTTTAATCCCAACTCTGAGGGGTCAAAGACAGCCAGAATTCTGTAAGTTCAAGGGCACTCTTGACTACTACAAAGCCAGTTAGAGGTCAGAGCTATACAGTGAGATCTTGTCTCAAAAAAAAAAAAAAAAAAAAAAAAGGAAAGAAGGAAGAAAGAAAACTTAACATCTAACATTTTCTTCCTATTTAAAAATCTAAGAAAATAATCCCGACTTCAGCACATGACAGACCGAGGACCAGAGACTTTGTAACAGGTTAAGAAGTATAGGTCTACAGACCCAGAGCTCTTTTCTTTCCGTCGCTTTTCTATTTCTGACATTAATTTACCCGTTTTGTTGGGTAGGACACACACATGCTAAGTGTGCAGAGGTCAGAGGGCGTGCAGGAGGAGCTGTCTTCCAGCATGTGGAAGCAGCATCCAGGGAACACCGTGTGCTCCGCAAGACCCTGGACCCTGTATTCGATGAGACCTTCACCTTCTACGGCATCCCATACAGCCAGCTGCAGGACCTGGTGCTACATTTCCTCGTGCTCAGCTTTGATCACTTCTCTAGGGATGACGTCATTGGGGAGGTCATGGTGCCGCTGGCTGGAGTGGACCCCAGCACGGGCAAGGTTCAGCTGATCAGGGACATCATCAAGAGGAACATCCAGGTGAGGAGGAAGAGTGTGCTGGGGAGGGATGGCAGGATGGACATAACAGATCTCAGGGAAAGATGGGAGGTTCAGACGAAAGCCAAACAGCTCACAGCCTCAGCACACAAGAGGCAGGAACCACAACTAAAACACTGAGCTGCTTCATGTACACGAAGGGTTGGTGGGATTCTAACTTCCTGTGTCTTGATTTTCAAAGGAACCGCCCTAGTCTGTCTGTCTGGGGGAAGGAAAGCTGCAGGAGAGAAAGACTCCTCCCTGGAGCCTCCTGGCTCCCGTCAGCGGCAACCATGCGCACCCAAGGGAAACCTGTCCTCCGAGGGGTCGGCCGCACTCACCTGCGGGGCTTATGCTGCTCTCCACTTCTGGAGCAGTCTTGGGTGAGGCCGAGGTAGAAGGGGGCTTCTCAGCAGCATCTCCAACTGCTTCATCGTTCACTTCATCCTCCTTCTGCAAGGCTTCCATCCCTTCGGCCTCCTCTTCCTCTTCTTCTTCTGGCTCAGAGTTCTCCTCTTGGGAGTTCTCCTCCTCAGACTCACCCTCCTGACTCATGCTCCTTTCAGAAGCCAGCCAAGTCAGTTTCTCCATAGTCTCCTAAAAGCACCCCACAGAATGTTCATAAGGGCTCCTAGCAGCTCACAGAAGGCCAAAGGACAGGAGCAGTGTCAGGAGGATGTAAGGGAGCCAGGGTCACCACTCTGAATTAGAGGAGAAACCTGAGGAAACTGAGGCAGGACAGGCAGCACAACATGCCTTTGAAAGGCTGCCCTACTTCCTCAAGACGGCTTTCCTCTAACGTGACCCATACAACTGTCTGTAACTCCTGACCTGCCACCCTCACACAGACAGACATGCAGGTAAAACACCAATGCACACAAACATGAATAAATTATTTAAAAGGGTGGGGGGGGGTCAGGGAGATGGGTCAGCAGGTGCAGACAAGGGCTGCCAAGCCTGACAGTCTAGCTCAATGCCCGGGACCCACGTGATGGAAGGAGATAACCACCTCCTCCTGCTCCTCGGACCTCTACACACATGTCATGTCATGCACGTACCCACACCAATAAAAGAATAAATGTAAAAATAAAAAACAAAGTATGGCAAGTGAGTCAAGCACTTCGCACAAGCCTCCTAAATGATGTGCCATACGCATTCAAAAGTCAAATCCCACTTTGTGACTCCCACACGCAGGGAACTTTCCACTGAGTCCCCGTCCCCACATTTACAACTACTCTGGCTCTCACCTGGAGCTCCGGGACAGAAAGCACGGACTCCTCCGAAGCCGACGACAGTTCATCTTCTTCATCTTGGGTGAGGTCATCAAAGTCCTCCTCCTCTTCTTCCTCAGGCCCGTCTTTCTCTCCTCCAGTGTCTGGTCCTGCCGGGGTCCCTACAGACTGACTGTCAGCAATGGCCGAGTCCTCAGCCTTCCCTGGAGGCCTGCTGAGCACCGTCTCCTGCTCCACGGAGGACGGAGTACCTCTGGGCAATCCTCTGCTTGCCTCTCCGCTTGGACTCCCCTCTTCAGGCGGCTCTTGGGACACGGAAAGGGACGAAGCTGCTCGGGTCTCCTCTGTCTGCACCACTGCTTCTCTCCTCCGCTCTCTAGCACTACTCGGCTTCTCCTGAGGGGAGCCACGGTCTAATTCCATAGAGTATTCTTCTTTCACTTTCTCACCAATGTCCTGCTCGGGGAAGGTACTGGACATTTCCTCCACACGATCCTCAGCTTCCATCTTGACCATTTCTTCTAAATCCTTCGATGTGGAGTTCAGAGATAACTGGAGACTCAAAGGCAATG